ATATATAGTTGTTCAGATTCTATCCTCAGAAAACTATACTGGAAGGGTGGGTGGTAGGAGCTTGTACAGTTCAGCTTCCAACACTTTGGAACAGATTAAAAAGGGAATCTTTTAAATAAAAATTTGTAACTGTTTATACTCTTGCATGTTGAGTTCCTCTGTCAGAAGCCTTACAAGTCTGGGCTCCCATCTTTACAAAGATGATTATTTAAGGATATTGACAGTCATAGGTGTTCTGAAACTCACATTGACATGGGGAACATACGGAATTTGATTTTTGTCGTTCATTTTAAACCTTACAGTTGTTCCTTCTAGCTGGGCAGTTGAGTAACTTTAAAATCAGTCACAATAGTCTTGTTTTTTTTTCTAAATAAGTAAGACCCGAGGTCCTTCCATAAGAGTCTCCAGAGCCCCAGCAAGTTCTGTGGGTTCATCTGTAGGTAGGGTACCCAGACAGAGTTCTTAAAGACACTGCCCATCATCTAGCCAGTTTGTAACTCCCAGGTTTTCCCAACTCTGGAATGGGTAGAGGTTGAATGAAGGAAAAGTGTACAAAAGGAGGCCACTGAGGACTTCAAGAATTTGAAATAGATTATTTTTCCAGCCTATAAGTTTGCACTCCATGCATCAGATTTGTTAGAGTGAGTTAATTTTGTTACTGGATTTTGTTTTTAACTGCTCGTCTTCCCCACTGTTAAAAAAAGCCAGTTAGAAATTATTATTATTGTTATTATTATTTTAATGATCCATTTGTTCAGAAGCCAGAAAAAGGAGCAGTTGGACAGGAACTTACTTCAGGGTTTGGGCCTGATACTGAGCAGGGACCTCAAACTGCAGTAACTCGGGGTCAGTGCTTGACTCTTTCATAACCACAGAAAAGCAGTTTTTCTGCAAAGAGATCCAAGGTGAGATGGGTGTAGGGTTTGTATTTACACTTCTGGGAAGTGAAACGCACCTGTTTCTCTCAACCTAGAAATGCGTTTACTGCTTAAAGGATGAGCAAACAGAAGTTCTGTGGAGGAGGCCAAATGCTTGCCCCTATGGTAAGCCCGTCCACCTCTCACTTCAGCGTAATGCTACCAGGGTGATACGTGGAGAGGGGCAGGATGTGGATACCATTTTGAACACCTGCAACATCAGAGAGTGCCTCCAACAAGCAGAGCATGTTGGGAGATTGCTTAGTTGTGGCAAATGGCTCTGTGAGCTGTGGTAGTGGTTTTTTAGCAGTTTATTAGCAAGCTGGTATGAGATGAGGTATTGCTTCATTGAATCACTCCCCATCTTTGCCAAATTTGAATGTATCATTCTTAACCTTACCTCTTGTAATGACACTTTGTTATGCTTTGGTTGCCTATGTAGCTCTCCCCTTATCCTGCCAAATGTGCCCATCTGTGTGAGTTGGGTCCAGAAACCCATCAGATACCCTTCTGATAAGGGAAGAAAACCTTAGCTAGAGCTGGCTAAAGATTGAAATTTCAGGGGCCGGGGATATAGCTCAGTGGCACAGTCAGTACCTGCCTGGCAAGAGCGAGGTCCTGAGTTTGATTCCTGGTACCAAAAAGAATTCAAATTTCAACCAAACTTACAGGCCCAGAGAAATACAATTGAAATGTATGAAGCAGTATTTTCAATATTAAGTTTACAATAGGGCCATACACACATGACAGTCCCATTGGTTTCCTTGTACAACTGATGAGACTCAAACATGTACCACTGGTGGTTCAAACTGGCGGGAACATGTTGAACTTCTCAAAGATGGGTGCACCTGGGAAGAAGGATTAAGGCATACAGTATTAGTCTGCAATAGCATTGATGGCCACCTTGGAAGAAGGATTAAGGCATACAGTATTAGTCTGCAATAGCATTGATGGCCCAGGGGCTGGTACCAAAATGTAGTCCTCAGGTCTGGAGGCTGTAGGGTAGTGAGACCCCATAGTTCGCTTGATAGCTTCATATACTGTGTACTAATGCCCAATTGTACTTAACAATGGTGGGAAGTTACTGGGATAAAAACTTGGCTAAAAGTTTACAAACATATATTTGGGACTGTTTGGTTTGCTGTATTTTATCAGGTCTTCAGTGCAGCAGAGCCCAGAAGTAGACTGAACTATACAATTAATAAGGACTTGGAGAAAGCTGCTGTTAGGGTTAGCTGTTACTTTGTATTGTTTTTTCCCCTCTAGTTGCTTGCTTTGCTGCTTTTCTTGTGTCTGTTTATATTTGGGTTATGACTTGAATATCTTGATAACTGACAAAGGTCTTCCTTGGTAGACTTGAATTTGAACATCTTGGTAACTGACAAAGGTCTTCCTTGGAGGACTCTGACAGTATTTGTTTAAATGGCTGAAAGGACTATTAAAGTTATTGGAGTGTGTTTATTGGGACTTGTCTGAGAACATGACATTGATCCTTCTCTTATTTCCAGTCTCTTCTGAGTCATATAGAGGGGAATCCCACTATTTCCCCTTTAGATTCTATTCCCCTTGTAGGCTTAATTACAGCATATCTGGCCTTGAACTGGGACTATATGTCTGTTAGGACTGGCATGATTTCCCCCCTTTTAAAAAGAAAAAGTAAACTGATGCTTCAACACTGTTTGCAGAAAAGCCAGGAGGGTTGGAATAGCTTTGAGAAAACATCAAGTTCTGCTTCTTATTCAGGTGCTAGGGTATCACATTCTCCTTTTCTTGGAAAAGCCAGCCTGCTTTCATGGGTACCTACTTCTACCATCTACCATCCTTTCCTGCTACCTTCAAATCTTGGATATTGCCAAAGGAAGCCATTCAGCAACTGCTGCCCCCCGAACCCCCTAAAAACATATATTTGCTCTGGAAGAAGTGTCTTCCCTTTGACTTTGGTCCTTGGCCCTTATTCTGTGGTTAACTGCTCTTACCTGTTGCACTAACGAATACGATTCTAGGTTTTAAAGAGGGAATTTGAAGCAATAGGCAAATGGGGCTTGGATGGATTGGTCCTACACTTATCCTGCCTTAAGCCGCTGAGGTGATGAGTCCACTGCTCATGTGACCCTCCACCTTTGTGGATCCCTCTTAGTTTGTGATCAGTGTGTCTGTTTCATGAGGTTGTACAAACTTGGCAAAAGTTAATACTTTGGTTTGTATTCGCTGCACTGTTGCACTCTCCAAATGGCCCCTTGAATATTTTTATTAACTTGTTCCACACATTTGTCTTTGATGTCTACATTATTTTTTTCTTCTGATGTCTTTTTTATTTGGACTATTACCTGCTGTTGGATTTAATAAATTTGTTTACCTGACTATTGATATTTCTGCAAAAAGAAAAATGACTTTATTCTGGGACAAGGTTTACCCACTTAGGGCCTCTTCCAACATGACAATATTGGAAAACAGTTCTTACGCCCTGGAAAATAATCCAGACAGTACAAAATCTCCAAACATGGGTATTTGACCTCCCATATACCAAACTTAAACGGGTGGCCTTAAACAGCAAGTGAGTCCTTGTAGGGCAAACAGCAAGTGAGTCCTTGTAGGGCCACTACCAAAGTAGTTTTAATAACTGAAAAAGTGAATCTGAGCACTGTGTCAGGTGCATGGCCCCTAGATTATCAGTTTGCAGTGATTAAAGGCAAAGGAGACAACCTGATATGGCTTTAAATTTGGTGTCCCTGCTTTGTGACTAATTGGCAAGTTGGTGATCTTCTGTTTTACTCATTTGTAAACTGAAGAAATCTTACTTTCCATTGTGTTAAGATTTTAAAAAGTCTTTATAAAATACCTAAGACATGGAAGTGCTCAATTACTACAGACTTCATTAAGGTTCTCTAAAAGGATGTCAGGTAAGTAATGCAGGGAATCCAGAGAATGGGGCGGGGGAGTAGCATGGGTACAAGTGATAGTTCACATCACTACCCCTCCTAGGGGTTCAGCTTTCCTCTGTGCCAAAATGGGGAAGGGGAAGAGTTGAACACGATCCCCAAGGTCCCCATCTGCTTTTCACATTCTAGAAGGTTCTAACATGGTGAACCATGTAAAATTCTTAGCTTCCTTTCACTGTCTTCTATCTAGCTATTGCTTACTTTCAGGAAAGCTACTGACCAGCCACCTTACTCATATCTTTGATGGAAGGCCTTATTGGCCTCCCCCAAGATTCCCAACCTCATACTGTTGTCTCCTAAAAATAAGTAAATACAATGGTCAGGGTTAGATGTACTTTTTCTTTCTGGTTGCAAAGGTTTTAGGAGTCATGAATACATTCCTAGCTAAGGAGAACTTTGTGAGGTTTCCTGAATTTTTTTTTCTAAGAACAAGAATATGTAGGGGGTAACTTTTCTCTTAAAGAGTAGGTCTCCAGAACTATTTCCCATTGACCCTGGGCTTGTTTCTTATGTGCTTCGGCCCTTCTGAGTTACCAAGCTCTGCCAGGGCCTTACAAATTTGGAGAACAACAGAGTGGAAGATAGAATTTTTTTTTTTTTTTTTCCTGAGACAGTCTCACTATGTAGTTCAAACTAGGCTTGATCTTGCTATGTACCCCAGGCTGGCCTTGAACACACAGGGATCCTCCTGCTTCAGCCTCCCGAGTGCTAGGATTACAGGCATGCACCACCATTCCCGGTGGAAGATACAGATTTGGGTGCTTACATAAAGCCTGAAGCTATTCTAAATATTGCCACAGTGCCTAAAATTCAATTTTCAATTAGATAAGAGACAAGCAAGTTTCAACAGCTAATACAGATGAGCTTAACTGCATGTGGAGTAGACTTTCTCCCAACCAGTACAGTACACAGCAGGTAGTCTGGCAGGTCCAGAAGAGTTAGCAGCCTTAGCCTTTTCCCTCCTGGAAATCCAATTACCAAAGCAGATGTTTAGGTTGGAGAACCATCTGGAAATCAACTCTGCAGCTCTAGGTTTAGATCCAGACTAGAAAGGGTTACTCTGACTGGAAAGGGCTAGGAAAGCCATCTAACATTCTTTCCTTGGACTACCTGGGTTTAGCATTCTTTAATATTCTAACCTTACTCAGTCTTTGCTTAGGAGTGCTGAGGAATCCTGGTGAAATAACAGTAGTAAAGCAGTCAGCAGTAAAGCATCTTCATCCTTGGTGTGTTGTAATCCATCCTGATGGGGACTCATGAGCCACTGCTAGTATATTAAAATAGCTACAAGAGTGTACTACTGTGAGACAGAAAAACACAGGTACCAGCTCTAGTATATACATGGACTTATAAAAACTAGGCATCCTGTATTGTGTAAATAATGGTAGGTAATTGTGTAAAATTAAACACTTGGGAAGAGTCACCATATGCCAGGATAAGTTCCAAAAATGAGGGTATAACTATAAAAAAAAATGCTGAGACGTACTGTATATGAATTTGCCAGTGGGTATTTATTTTATTTTATTTTATTTTTATTTATTTATTTTTTTTGGTTTTTCTCCGGTACCGGGAACCGAACTCACGACCTTGCACTTGCCAGGCAGGTGCTTTTGCCACTGAGCTAAGTCCCCAGCCCCTGCCAGTGGGTATTTAAAAGCTTAGATTGGTCAGGACTTTCTAAACATAAAAGCAAATAGAAGAAAATCACAAAAGGATAAATTTAAACCGGGTGTGGTGGTGCATGCTTGTAATCTCAGTACTTGAATTCGGGAGACTGAGGCAGGAGGATCATGGTGAGTTTAAAGGCATCCTGCACTGCAAACTGAGACCCTACCTCAAATAAGCTTATAGCACACTAAAAATATTTTTGTAATAGTTGACAAATACTTCTTGATCCATAAGAAGGTCTTAAAATTCAGTGTGGTAAAGTACTTGGTTTTCCAACCAAACAATGGGCAAAGAATATGGACAACTCACCAAAAAAAAAATAGTAATTCACCAGAAAGCTCCTGGGAAAAAAAAGTTGGATGGCAATCTAAAGAGTATTCAAATAAACAGGAATCACAACTATAATGAAAACTTTTTTTTTAATCTATCAAATTGACAGATTATCAAACTCATGCTGGCCAACAGAAAACCTTTCTGGAATTAAAAGAGCATAAATATTAATACTGTTTAATCCAATAATTTCTTTTAGGAACTTTGTAGTTAGAGTAATAATACCAAATATGTATCATGCCAGGATATAATTGGCAGCAGCATTTGGGAACTAACAGGGTTGTGTTTAAGAGAGCATGAGACTTCAATATTACAATATTACACAGGTATTTAAAACTGCTTTTGAATGATGAAGAATGTTCGGTGTCATCATGTAAAAATATTGACAATCATTGATGGGATTAGATATAATTTTAATTTTTCTGGATTTTTCAAGTTTCCATTTATTGGTGGAACCTATTTGTAGGGAAGAGGTTACTACAAAAAAGGTGGCAAAGGAAGTGAACATGAACATGTCTGAGTGTCCACTATTGACTGGCAGGGAGGCCAGAAAATGGGAGTAACACGTTCAAAGCCTAAACCAAGAGTTCTGTAAAAACTCTTAAATTGTCTTTTCCCCTAAACCAGACACCACTGCTCCAGCAGCTGCCTTGGCAGCTCTGCACTGGCTGCCTAGAAGGGTGTGGGAGGAAAAACGCACAAACGCACTTATGAATGGAATGTGTGTTTTGCAAGAGGCCAAGTTGGCAGCTTTGGCTTCCAAAAGGTGGGAGCATTGACTGAAAGAACAGTGTGTGCAGACTGAGTCTCAGAGGCCTTGTGGTTCAGGTCCATCTCTACAGGATTCTGGGGTTGGGGCCCAAGGGGTTCTGCCCCACCCATCCGGAAGGAAATGGTTTTAGCTAGTTTTGGGAGCCCTCATCTGCTCCTGTACTTCAGAGAGGATCCTTAGTAAAATACCTGTTATTTATTGAGCACGTGTTCTGGCCTTTCCCTAGTTTAACCCTTATAATAACCTTATGAATTAGGTACAAATTTCCTCACAGAGATGAGGGGAAAGGCTCTAACAAGGAAAATAACACACATTTTCCACAAAATAGATCTTTGAGTTCTCCCAAGTTAGTAAAAGTAAGTATATTTCCTCCTAACAGCTGTGGAAATAGAAATTTATACAGCAGATTAGATTAACTAACTTGCCCAAGAATACCCAGGAGCAAGGCTGAAGCTCCAGTCCAGGCCTGCTCATATCCAACAGAGGCACATACTCTGTTGGGACAGGAGCCTCAAGAGGTGCGTATCAACTGAACTGCCACAGTTCTGAGGCTCAGCTGGGCAGGAAGGAATCCAACAACACTGTCAACGTCAAGTTGTTCTCAGGGCCTGGCAGCTGAAGCTGGCAGAAGACTCTACTCCTGACAGAGGGGCTCCAAATTGCAATGTCCTAATCCCAAATTAAAGTTCTTTGGTAGTAGCTCCATTTAGGGTGAGATTTTAAATTACATTTAAATGATTAAACATCCCTAAATGGCCAACCTGGAGAATCAATTTTAAGTAGAATCATTTGTTTTTTGAATCATAAAAGCAACACATGCATTTGGCAAAACCTAATTTGCCAATCACCCTAGCCAGAGAGAAGTCATTAACGCTTTGGGAAACAGGCTTCTAGGTTTAATCTGAAGCCTAAGAATAGCTCTGTAAAATTTCTCCTATAAAATTAGACTCAAACTATACATACTAGTCTGTAGCCTTCCAAACTTCATACAACATACAACAAATATCTATATATTTGTGATAGATATCACAAATGCCTAATTTCACTTATCATCACAATAACCCTAGGATTATTATCCCAAGAAGAGCCATGATAAGTAATTCAAGTCATCAGTAAGTAAACTGGGCTTCCATGTTAGGCACTTGGGACGTGTGCGTGCACACACACATTTAAAAATGGCTACCTAGAATTCCACTGTAATCTCTGATACCTCCACATGTGTTTCTATGTGAATTGTTATTCTACAGATTGTAGGGCCTGATTATGGAGCAAGATTTTTCATTTATTACTTCAGCTTTTTGGAGGACAGTTAATCTCTCTACATCTCTATCAGTTTTGGTTTTGGTTTATTTTTGTTTTATTTATTTATTTTTTTTGTACCGGGAATGGAATTCAGGACCTGACTCTTGCCAGGCAGACGCTCATGCTACTGAGCTATATCCCTGGCCCCTCTATCAGTTTTGGAATTGTACTCCCGTGCTCCTGTCCTTTCCAAAAGAATGTTTATCAGTTAGCTGGTTAAAAGGCAAAGCATTGGTTTTTACTGGGTTCAGGTTCCATTTCCCAGGGGACAGCTGGTGTGATGGAGGCACCTACTGGTAGAGGGTGGCACTGCAGCCATTCTGAGGAAGGAGGGATTCCCAAATGCAGAATGGGAAGGTTTCTAGCGTTGCTAAAAAGTCTTTCACTCTGGTGAACTTGCAGATTTTCAGTTCAGTCTGTCTTTTCCCCTCTCAATTTTATGACAGCTGCCAATGAGACAACAATCTGCCGTACAGAAATTTGCTTTATTCAAATATCTATTACAACTTTGACAAACTGCTTATTCGGCTGTTTTCTCACACAAAAGTCGTTCTTCCTGACTTCCTTATCAGTATATACTATTTCATGGGAGTGCTACATGAAATGAGCAACTGTGTGTATAAACTTACTGACAAAAAGAAAATAAAACTGGTTTCTCCCTTTAAGATGAGGAATGCTTGAACTTTAGGCACTTAATGAAAATTTGTCCATGGCATTGTAAATGGAACAGATTCCTTTAGCTGGTACACCACATTTCCACAGAAGCTGTCTGATGGATGAAGAGGCCTGGCAGCCACTCATGAAAGGTAAGAAATGACATGTGGAAAGCGGTGGGCAGACTCACAAAGCCATGCCTGTGGTGGTGCATCCCTCTTCATCTTTTATTCCCATTAGTCCTAGGCCGGGGAGTGATCCATAAATGCTGCTGCAATAAATAAGGAATGAAGATAGGTTTTTATCGACAGGGTTGAATGAATGATTATAAATTCCTTGGCTACAGAGATAAGTATTTCAGCATGTGTGTATACCACAGAGCAAGAGGCAGGCAGGTTCATGGAAAGCTGTCCGATGAAGATAGCTCAATGGAAAGAACAGACGAGGCCCAGAGACCTGATTCAAGTCCCACCTCTGCTACTTAAGGCAATGTCAACCAAGCCTCAGTTTTCAACTATGAAACTCTATAAATTACTATTTCATAAGGCTTTTCATGAGAACTACTGACAATAATATCTAACATACACTGAGTTCTTAGTACACACCAAGGACTGTAACAAGCATTTGTTTCATTTAATCCTCAAAACACCTTAGTAACTTAAGAACAACTGCTATCTCCCTTTTAAATAAACAAGTTTAGAGATACTATGTAATGTGCTTCAGTCATACTATCAATAATGGAACTGTGTCCTCAGAGTCCTTATAAATTGCTGTTAGTCTTAGTCTTTTGTTCATTAAACACTTGTTGCACCTACAACGTGCCAACACTTCTTGAAAAACTTTATAAAACATTAACTTATTTAATAAGGTATGTTGAAAAACACCTGACACATTACTTAGACTTTAGGAATCATCCAATACCTGTTAGTGCCCTGCACCTTGTCATACAGTTGGTTAAAGGGATAAGCAGGGAGGTAAACAAACACACAGAATCTGTGTATACCTGATGTCTGACCTTAAGCGGGCAAGTGCCAGCCTTCGGGGATGGAGAAATGGAATTCTGAGGGCAAAAGAGTGGCTCTGGAGTCAGAGAGTTCATCAAGGTTCAAATTCTGACTACGCACTTGCGAGCTGTATGATCTTAAGTTGCTTAAGCTGAGACTTTTTCTCTCCTTGTCAAACAGGTATTTTAACACCCACAACCAAAACCACACAGTACAGTATTAGCTGTTTACTAAGGGTTTGATAAATTACAATGATTATTATTATTTTCAATATGAATGTCAGCAGCTACCAGAAATGTAAGGATTAAGAGCTGAGTCAGGGACCTGGCTGAGGAAACCTGTTGACATTGCCTAGCTTTTTTCCTGAGCATTTGACTTCCCAAGTGTCCACTGGCAGCATGGAGAGTTGCAGAGAAGGCCCAGAGAAGGCAGGGACAGCAAGCTGACAGGGAAATGCATGCTGCTACTAGATTTAATCAGTATGGCTACAGAAATCACAGTATGACTTTTTTTTTTTTAACTTCTCTTTCTTTTTTTGTTTTTTTCACAGTGTGACTTTAAAAAGAAAAGAGTAACAGGTTTCCTCACTAGAGGATGTGTTGCTTCTAAAGAGTCTTATTCTCCTGAATTGTCAAATTTTTCTCAAAATCTTTGCCTCAGTCAAAACCTAAGCCTTTTTTGCTCCTTGACCCCTGTACTCCCTCTCCTAAGACTACCCTCTATGGAATGTCCATACTGTTTCTGGAAGGAGAATACTTTGGCCCTCTCTTAGTTTATCTACAAAACAGTGACTGCGATGTAAACATCTACCTGAGAACATGAAGACTAATCCCCTATTCCACCCCTGCCTTCCATACACACTGGCCCTAAGGAGCTAGCTAGTGGCAAGTTGTCCATCTATCCCCCCAGGGCATTTGCTCTTAAACAAAAAGCTTTAATAGCAACTTTTGCTCACATTTTATTTGTTTTCACTTTTTAATTGTTAGCTTACCTATAAGACTGTTCAAAGTGTTATTGATCTAAGAGCCTCCACCCCAATATAAATATCTAATACTTATTCTCACAAAAGGCAAAATTTTCAAGCTACCCACTAGGTACACCATCTCACCAGTGACTCAAATGCACATTACAAGGACTTTAAGACAAGAAATGAATTTCTGATCCAGGGCTCAAGGCCTGCAGTATCCAAACTCTGCTATTTGCAACCTGCCATCTGCTAGAATATCAGAATTATTAAGAGATTTTTTTGCTTAGCCCAGTGTTTCTCAAACTGCTCCAAAAGGACATTGTCCTTTCCTTTTTTGCTCTAATCTATGTACTCATTCATTCATCTACCCATTTGACCATCTTTTTTCTTTTGTTTTTTGGATTTTTGAGACATAGTCTCACTACATAGGCCAAGACCAGCCTAAACTACATAGTGAGACTCTGTCTCAAAAGGGGGCGGGTATCAATATTAAAAGGGTTTGAAAATTACTCATTCCCTCTAAATTCCTCAGTTTAAAAACCTGTAATGGGAAAATTTCTCAACTACTTGAGAGGTAGGTAAAGGAAGATGAAACTAGACCAAGAGTTCTATTTCAGTAATCTTAGGCTTACAATCAGCAAAATATGCTTAAAAGTAAAGAGAGGCACTACGGGGTAAGGGAAAGGGGGGCAACAAACTCCTGATATCAGGAGGACAGCCTGATCATGCATAAGCCTGGCCCTCCTTTTCTTCTCAAGTGAGGCTAACTGGCTACTTCTTACCCTAGGAAGACTGAAGAATGTAAGTCCTCTGGTTTTAAACTGGCAATAACTGTCTCCTTGAGGGATAATAAGTGTACTGATGTAAGACCATATAAATGTAAAATGGGAATATAATTTCTATCTCTTAGAACTAAGAGATTTAAGAATTAAGAGATGATTCGTAGAAGTCCTCATTATGAGCCTGCACACTAGGTCTTTCTCCATGAACAGCTGAAATCCATAGGGGCCAGTCAGGAGCAACAGCCCATCACTGTCCTTACCTCTTGGATCCTGGCAGCAGGACGAGGCAGAGGGTTCCTGGGTCCATATTGTGGTAGAGCTTTCCAATCTTCTGGCCCCAGTGCCAGGCTGCTATCTTTGGATGGTCTGACTTCAGAGTCTGGAATCAAAGACACAGCTCAACACTTAACAAGAGCACTCTCTGCTCACATTTGTAGGGCCTGCAACGTTTTCTCAGGCTCTAAGGCCTTGGGATTCTCAGTAAAGGCTCTATACAAATATCCTGTTGAAGCTAGATCACACTGCAAGCCTCCAGGATGATTTAGGACCTCCTCAGAGGCGGACGACTGCTGTCTTTTCCTTCAGATAGGTCTTCTTGGGCTGCAAGCTAAGAAGCCAGCCACATCACTAGTCTGCCCTGTGCACTAAGTATCTTTGTGCTGATGGATGAGACACTCACCAGGTCACACCGCCATTTCTCATCTGCTAAACATGAGTGATTAGGACAGATTAATAACTAAGCTTTTCCAACCTTCAGCTATTCTATCTCTGCCACCAGTATTTTTTTTTTTTTTCTCTTTTTTTGTACCGGGAATCGAACTCAGGGCCTTTTGCTTGCCAGGCAGGCGCTTGTGCCGCTGCCCTATATCCCCGGCTCCAGCTATTCTATCTCTATTCCTGTGTCTGCCTCTAATATTTTCCTTTAAACTGAGGCAATTTCTTCTGAACCTTTCTAAGTATTTTTCTAGTAGACTGATGAAAAAACAAATCAATAACTATAAAAGTCCACCTATGAAAACCTAAATTTATCTTGTGTATGTACCACTTTGGGAAACCTTAAATTAGATCAATTAAGACTTGCCTCCCTCTCCCATGCTCCCACTTCAGTCCTTTAAAATCCATTGGCAGCTATCTTGAAGACTAAAAACCAGATTTTAGCAAGTACTGAAGTGGGTACAAGTATCAGACAGCTGAAAGCAAATAATGTGTTTTGGGCTAGAGAAAGGTAGACACACAGGACTGGCAACTAGGCAGAAAAAAGTGACTGAAAGATCAAGTACTACTGAATAGAACTCTCCTGACTAACCAGAAACACAAGTCCAGGGTCCAGAGAGCAAACTAGAGCAGCAACCTTCCCCCTCTAGCCAGAAAAAATATTCATTCACTCACACACACACCTGCAAAGCCTGCTGCTCTGAAGGACAAGGTATTATTCGAAGCCCGGGAGGCCTTCTTGATTCAGGTGAGAAGCTCCTGAGCCATTCGTGGAGGTGCCTGGGGGTTAGGGCCCCCCTTCCTTTCAGCTTCCAGTCCTTGCCTGTGAGAATGCTGAGGGCCCTCTGGGCACTACCAGAAGTTTTGAATTCTGAAAGCAAGAACATACATTTATCTTCTGTTATTAAGGGCCAAGAAAGTTGATTATCATGCAAGCTAGAACCTGGAGAGAGGATCCTGGGGAAGGACCAGATCAAGGGTTCCTGTCTTTATCCACCATAGCACAGCTTATTTGGTGAATCTTTTCCTTCTCTGATCTCTGTTATCACCATCCCAAAGCTTCTCCTCCAGGAACACATTGGGTGGCAGACTTACTCAGGAAACAGTATTTTTTCTGCTTTCCACTTTCAAGATATTTAGGCAGGATCACAGCTTCTAGGCCTGGGAAGTGGTCACACTGCTGGAACATGTTTTCTTTGAAGGATTCACTCACTCCAGACAGATAAATAGTATCTCGGTTCTCAGAATCTCGTCCCAGCTCATTCACAAGTATGTCACAGTCAAGGGTAAGCTCTGTCACAGGCCTCTGCACCTAACCAACAAAAGGTCATGTCAGTGGTAGAAAATCACCACTTTCACCCTCAGGGCTGTGCACATTAGTAACTTACTTTTGCAGCTTCCTAATCTTTAAGAAAGCTAATGATAACTGCCTCACAGAACTGTAATGAGAGATTTAACTCATAAGCACAAAAATATTTTCATGAAAATATAAGCTCTTCAGTTTCCTGCCTCCCACCTCCAATGAAATTCTGCTTACTTGCCCATGATCCCTCTGAAAGCTGACCACCCAGAATAAACCAGGTGGAGCCTAAGTAGTGATAAGGAATTAAAACAAACTCAATCTAGCCCAGGGTGACTGTAACAAAAAATAAAAGTCTTGGGTCACTGCTGAGAGAAAGTCAGATTTGGCTGAAGACGTTCCATAACAGAAAGTCTTATAGCGCTGGCCATTTCTAGGGTATTTCCTATATGTCTTGGGCCACTGTAGATACAGGATGTGCTAGGCCAGTTCTGACTGAAAGAGGCTGCTTTCAGTTTTCTCTGACTACCTTACCTTGATGTAGATACCGTCCACCATAATGCCATTCAAGGACTCTATGGCTAGCTGAGCAGCTTCCAGGACTTCATACTGCACACAAAGATAAAGCTGCACAAAGATCAAGATTTCTTCATTGTTGCTTTCCAGCTAAGGGATCCAAATTACAGTGGCCAGAGCCACCAGAACAGATCTCCTTACTATGCTGGGCTACATAAGTATTGACCACCAAATGGCAACTTCAGGTAGAATCAAGGTTCAGAAACTGGTTTTTTGACAATACCTAACCTTTATTGGCCACTCAAAATCAAGGTCCATTGCCCTGAGTGATGTGAGGAAAGCACTAAACAAATTCCTTAATATCCAACTTGCTTTCCATAGTATTTATTATAATTCACTAAAGTCATTATGTAAGTCACAGGCATAGATTTCCATCTGTCTTATTAGCTTAATTTCAGATGGGCAACTTTCCTATTAGCTTGGGGAGGCTAAGTTCTTCCACTGGCTAGGCCACACCTTCAAAAAGTATGAATTTCAGTTTAATGACTCAGAGTAGCTAAATCTCTGTGATTATCTGAGCCAGGCATCATTATGAAGATAAAAGCACTCACACAGGAAAGCCTTATAGCACTGCTTTTGGCAATGATTTCTTGAAGATGACACCAAAGGAAGACAACAAAAGAAAATATAAACACCTTGAACTTCATCAAAATTAAAAACTTGTATGTATCAAATAACACTAACAGAGCCAAAAGGCAACCTACAGAATGAAAGGAAATCAGGTGTCTCAGAAGGGATTAGTATCCAAAATTTATAAAGAACTCTTATAGTTCAATAATATAAAACCCAAATGATCATTAAAAATGAGCAAGCATTTGAATAGGTATTTCTCCAAAGGAAGATAAAAAAAATGGCCAATGATGCTTAATATCATTAATTATTAGGAAACTGTAAATTAAAACTAAAGTGGGATACCACTCCATATCTACTAGGATGTCTATTATAAAGAAAAAAAAAAGTACCGGTTGGATTGGAGAAATTAGAACCCTTGTTATTTGCTTATGGGAATGTAAAATGGTGTAGATGCTATGGAAAACAGTATGGTGCTTCCTCAGCAACTTAAACAGAATTATTTTTTGCCTTTTTTTTTTTTTTTTTGTACCAGGAATTGAATTCAAGACCTTGCGTTTGCCAGGCAGGCACTTGTACCACTGAGCTGTATCCCCGGCCCAGAATTATTTTTTGATGCATCAGTTCTACTTCTGTATATAAGCAAAGGCTTGAAAGTTGGAACAGATTATACCTCCATATTCAGAGCAGCATGATTCACAATAGCCAAAAGGTAGAAACAACCCAAATGTCCACTAACGGAAAAATGGATAAAAAGAATGTTATATACATATAAAATGGAATGGAATTGTGATCCATGCTAAAACATGGATGAACAATGAAGATATTACACAAACTGAAATAAGACAGACACAAAAAGACAAACCCTGTATGATGCCATTTATATGAACTACACACAGCTGTCAATTTCATAACACTAGAAAGTAGCAGTGGTTACAAGGAGCTGACAGGGAAAGGAGGCAACAGGGAGGTATTTTTGTTTAATGGGGAATGTCAGTTTGGGATAATAAAAAAGCTCTGCAGATGTATGGTCATTATGGTTACACAATTTAATGTATTTAAATGCTATTGAAAATGGTGAAAAGGGTATACGTTATGTTATGTGTATATATAATACACACAAGCCAATAGAAAAACTGATAAAAAGAGGTTACAGTGCCTTGTAACCAACCTCTCATCCCCAAGTCCAGCTTCTCAGCAATCATCTTTCTAATTTTAGTCAGAGGAAAAACATTAATGAAAGATTTGAGAAAAGCATATTTTTAAATATCTGGGATTCTGCACTTAGATCACATTGGAAATTTTTATGTTTTTGCTTCATTTGAATACCTATTAATGTACCAGTTTAATAGTTGCATAGTTGCAAATTCTAAAGGTACAGAAATTTACAGTGAAGTCTACCTAAACCCCCTTAGCTACCTTGACCCCCTCTCTCTGAAGCTTTCTATTATTATGAGTTATTGCATATTGTTCTATACATATTTTGTTATACTAGTTCTACTTCTTTGCATGGTTTCCTCTACGGCTCTATATATGTTTATAATATTATCACTCTGAATATCAACCTTGGTCTTTATTGACTCAAATTCAATGGTTAGGTTCAATGCTGACCTTATAGGGAAATTTTATTTGGTTCATGTACAATTCAGTCTGCAGCCAGAATCACGGAAAAATCAAGTTTGTGAACCAGGGTACCACTGTATTTATCATTTAAAGCCGGTATCACAATCAGGAGGCCCATAGGCCTATCCAACCCGTAGACATATTTTTGATCTGGTCTACATGAATTTAAGAGTGTTGGCGTCAACATGCGAAAACTTGCAGATTTCTCAATTCTCAAAACAAAAATAAAAAACTGTACACATAAAAACAGAAGATCAAGCATTCCTAAGCATATAAAGTATGATTTAAAAATATAGTAAATGTTTACACTTTAAAAGTTTATTGTAAGATACACTGCCGTTAATCTCTCTTAAAATACTCCCCTTCACTTCAGACATAGTTATTCAGCCCTTCTTGCCACTTTCTGGTGCAGCTCTGGAAGTCCTCTTTTGTGAGTGTTTTTATGAAATATGATCACAAGGTGCTGTACAATGAATGCTGCTATCGAGTGCCATCAACAGAAAGACAGGCTCATGAAAACATGCTGTGTCTTTATCTATCTTATTCAATCAATATGACACTGTGTGCCTTCTGGCTCTTCCCAATATGACCATCAAAGGTAAATGTTTTGAACTGATTCGGGACATTGACAGGCAGCCATAAAACTGCTTCAGAAAGTGGCAAGACAACAGGATAAGTGTATCTGAAGCAAAGAGGAGTGTTTTGAGGGGGATTAGTGGCAATGTGTCTTACTGTAATATATATTTTTATTACCTCTTATACTTTTTTATGGGTCAACAACTACTCCTATCAGTCAGAGGTAGAGACAGTGAAGCTTACTTCACTAATTATGTGTGTGACCCCGAAAGTCATCTCAATTTCTAACACTAAGCTAATAGATCAAAATCTGAATTTTCTGGCTTCCTTACCTGATAGGTTTCAAGAACAAAAGACATTGACTGAATTGGGCCAAAGCTCTTCAACAGCCTCTTCAGAGCTCTGAAGCTGCAAGTTTTGCTAACTGGCCCAGCATAGACAGTTGACATCTCTTTCCACTTGGTCTTCATCTATAAGAAAAACAATAGAATATAATGAAGAGGCAGACATGGAAAGAGAATTGAAATCATGAATTGAAACATGGGATAACCCCAGCCTCAAGAAACTTTTTGACTTGCCAAATGTACAAGAATCTGTGTACAATGATGTTTGCTGCAACATTATTTGTAACAGAAAAATTTATAAAGCATAAATACTATCAGTAATAAGTATACCATATAGTACATAATCCTTAAAAATAAGAAAAAGAGAATATATAGTGACATGGAAAGATGCAGATGATATACTGTTTAAATGAAAATAAAGTCCTGATCCTTTTTTCAAAAAAATTAAATTGTTCAGCAAAACCTGTCTACTTACCCTTTTACTCATCTCCTCAGTGAGGACAGGAGAATAGGACTCAAAAGAGAACTGGACAATGCTGAAGGGAAACAGGGGAACTTCCACTCTGGCCTGATCAAAGACCTGCAGAGAACAGCACAGCCTGAATGAGGCAGGGCCCTAGTTCTCACCTGTCATGGCGCTCAGAGGGGAGCCACAATAAAATAACAGTTATTCTTTTACCTATATTAAAAACTAATATAGGAGTGACTTCCAGGTGAGGAGGAAAATGATGACCAGCATAGTCCCCCAGAAAAGCCACAAAATCAATAAATAAAGAGACCACACATAACCCATATCTTCAGCATTACTAAGAGATATGGGATACTATACAATCTCCAAATTACCTCTAAGTAAGAAAATAAGTTAAATTCCAAAAGATCTCCTACCATCACACCAGTGTATACTTCTACAAGCATGCAAGTAACAAAAGCAAGTGACTTAGGGGCTGGGGATTTAGCTCAGAGGCAAAGTGCCTGCCTGGCAAGCGCAAGGTCATGAGTTCGATTCCTGGTACCAGAAGAAAAACAAAACAACAAAACAGCAAGCAAGTGACTTAAGAAATTCAGTGAAGGAAAAAAAAGCAAGGGACATGGAATTATTAAATGATGCACAAATAAAACCACTCTCAGAGAAGAAAAGTTTGATTAAATGTCAAATAATGAACATAAATCACAAGTCAAGCAAGGAAGAGGTGTAGTTAGGAGCACAAAACACTGAAAATTTTCTTTTCCCGTTCAGTGACTACAAGAAAGGTGCTTGGCAGCCTGAGAGGAATAGTGCTTGTGGTGGGGAGAAGGGTGACTCAAATAGAGATAAGGTAGGGCCCTTTGGAGGCACTATAGTGAAGACTAAAGGAAATTAATGTGCAAAGCTAGAATCTTGTGTAAAAAGAAAACAGACTCTAAGCTCTCCCCAAAACATTACAAAATCCTCTCTTTCCCCACAACACCACAATATCATTCTCAAAAGAAATGCATTTGAAAGAGATGCCAGTGAAAGGGAAAGGAAAATGCAGTGTTTTGTGCTCCTGAATGTGCCCCTCCTTTACCTGACATAATAGTGCTTAACAGGAAAGAAACTTCACATACCAGATACTCTTCCCTAGGATGGAAACAAGAGTAGACTGTGTGTCCAACATTCTGAGGAGTCTGGGAGTTGTCTGGCAAACTGGTTTGTCTTGTCTGATTTAAAGCACTGATAGGAATGGAGGGCTTATATGGAAGTCACTAAAAATAGAGGCAATCATTATGGCATGTCAGTGCAGTGCCACAGGAAGATGTCAGAGAAAGCAAGGGATTATACACTCTAAGAAGCACTGCCTAGGAAGTTTAAATGTGTAGAGCACATGCATAATACCAGAGAAGACAAATTTTCAAAACACATTTGAAAGATCATGAAACTTCTAATTGGGTTGATTGGTGAAGGACTGTCTCTGCATGAAGCAATCCACAAAGACTAGAACATTGACTGGTTGCCAACCTATGGCACATGTGCTACAACAGGTGTTTGTTCACTGAAAGCTCTAAAAGATCCACCATCACTGGACTAGAGGTGCTGGTTATTTCTATAAATTTCTAAGTCGAACAATAGCAACAACAAAATCAGAAGGCATACAAAGAAACAAGGAAACTGAGCCTAATTGAAAGAAGTAAATATAATTCCAGAAACAGACTCTAAAGATACATATATCTATGAGTAGTCCAAAAAATTTCAATTTCACATAGAGTCATTCCTCAATATCCACAGGGAATTAGTTCCAAGACTACCTGAACATACCAAAATTAGCAGATGTTCCAGTCTGTTTAGATAAAGTGGTGACATATTTTCATATCTACACACATACTTTTGTATACTTTATGTCACAATCTCTGCATTACTTATACCTTACAGAATGTAAATACTATGTAATAGTTTTGTACTGCATTCTCTAAGGAATAATGACAAAAAAAAAGTATGTACATGTTCAGTATGGATGTATTTTTTTCTGAATATTTTCAGCTCATAGTTGGCTGCATCCATGGATGTGGAAACTGCAGATCTGAAGGGCTGACTCTGTCTAAAAGATGCTTCATGAGCTGAAAGAGAATACAGACAACTAACAAAAATCAGGAAAACAATGATGAATAAATGATTGTATCAACGAAGAGAAATGACAGAACCAACCAAATCTTGGAGTTGAAAAACTCAATAGTGAGGGTCTGGGGATATAACACAGCTGTGCAATGTGTGCCTGGCAAGCACAAGGTCATGAGATCCTGAGTTCAATTCCTGGAACCCACCCACCCCCCAAAATTAAAAAACTAAATTGAAAAATTCACTAGAAAGGTTCAACAACAGACTTCATTGGGATGAAGAAAGTATCAGTGATCTTGAAAGACAGGTCATTTGAAATTAAAGATAAGTGAAGTAAGCTTAAGGGACACAAGTTGTTTCTTGGTATTTGCTTAACGTACTGATAACTTAGCACACCAAGACCTGCACACTGATGTTTATAGCAGTTTTGTTTATAACTGCCAAAACTTGAAAGCAACCAAGATGTTCAAACACTAAAATGATACAATATTATTCAGTGCTAAAAATAAATGAGCTTTTAAAAAAGCATTGAAAACACATGGAGGCCACTTAAGTGAATATTACTAAGCAAAAGACACTAATCTGCAAAGGCCATATACTATAGTATCCCAACTATGTAACATTCTGGGAGGCTTCTACTCTACTTTTCTTTTGGCAGTACTGGGAATTGAACTCAGCTCCCTTGCACTGAGCTACACCCTAGTGCCCCTCCTTGTTTTAATTTTTTTTTAAATGTTGAGATAGGGTCTCACTAAATTGCCCAAAGAAGCTGTAATCCTCCTGCCTCAGCCTCCCAGTGTGCTGAAATTATAGGTGAGCACTGTTACACTTAGCTTATGTGACATTCTGGAAAAGGCAAAACTGTAGAAGCACCAAAAAAATTGGTCTCCAAACCCCTGGGAGGAAGGAGGGATGAACAGGGACATTTATCACAGGATTTTTAGGACAGTGAAAATAATCCATTATGATACTATAATGGTAAATGTATGTCATCATACACTTGCCAACACCACAGCATACACAACACCAAGAGTAAACCCTAATATAAACTATGGCCTTTGGATACTTATGGTAGGTCAAAATCTATTCATCTGTTGTAACAAATGTACCAATCTGGTATAGACTGCAGGTAGTGCTGGAGGTTGTGTATGTGCTGGGGAGGGAATCAATGGAAAACATACTTTCTATGCAATTTTGCTGTGAAGCTAAAACTGCTCTAAAAATCCAAGTCCATCAGAAGATAATAATAATGCTCACAAGGCTCAAAAGGGAAAGCAAAGAGGGAGAGAGGGAAGGAGGGAGGGAGGGAAAGATGGAAGGAAGGAAGGAAGGAAGGAAGGGAAGAAGGAAAGAAGGAAGGAAGGAAGGGAGGAAGGAAAGAAGGAAGGGAGGAAGGAAAGAAGGAAGGGAGGAAGGAAAGAAGGGAGGAAGGAAAGAAGGAAGGGAGGAAGGAAAGGAAGGAAGGAAGGAAGGAAGGAAGGAAGGAAGGAAAGAAGGGAGGAAGGAGGAAAGAAAAATCCTTAGGACATTTGAAAATGAAGTACAGTGATCCTTGAGACATAGGAAACAAATGAGGTGAACCCTGAAATTTCTCCAATTCCTGCCTCAAGAAAGTTTCCAGGCCATGGAGAAATGGGGAAACCTGGTGGTTAGGACATCAGAAAGCAAAGACCTGCACACGAGGAGAAGTCCAGAGACCTCAAAAGTTCCTTATCAAATGTTCAGCTAACTACTGATTAGCATACCCATGTACACCAGCTATCTAAGGTCTAAGAAAGAACACTCAAAAGGATTACAGAGAAGAATTCTAAGGGTTCACACAGGGCCAGGAAGAGTTATATTCCTAAAGCCTCCTAAAGCATAAACCCTCCTAATTCATGGAGCATTGAGTGCTAACTATGGTTTTGCTTCAGTAATAAGGAAAAATTAACTCTTGTTGCACCTAAAGACCCTAAAAGCAAGATCCAAAAGGATCAAAGTGTTTTCAAGTAACTTTACCACATCCCAGAGCAAAGCTCAAAAACATTTACAGGGGAAAAAAGATACAGTACCCAGCACGATAAAATCCACTATGTCTTGCATGCAATAAAAAACAAAAAACTACTAGGAATGCTGGGTATGGTGGTGCACACCTATAACACCCCAGCTTAGGAAGCTGAGGCAATAGGATCATGAGTTTGAGGACAGGCTGGGCTACATAGTGAGTTCAAGACCGGCCTAAATTACATAGTCAGACCATCTCAAAAAACCAAAACAAAATAAAACTACCAGTAATGCAAAGAAACATGAAAATAAAATCCATGATGAGAATAAAAATCACTTAGCTGCACATAATAGTGCATACCTCTGATTCTAACTACTTGAGAGTCTGAGGTAGGAAGAGTACAACTACTTGAGTGGCTGAGGCAGGCATGGTACAAGTTCAGGGCCAGCCCGAACATCTCAGTGAGACCTTGTCTCAAAATAAAATGATAAAAAGGGCTGGGGATGTAGGAAGGAAGGAAGGAAGGAAGGAAGGAAGGAGGGAAGGAAGGAAGACAAAGAAAGAAAGAAAGAAAGAAAGAAAGAAAGAAAGAAAGAAAGAAAGAGGAAAGAAAAGAAAGAAAGGAAAGAAAGAAAGAAGGAAAGAAAGAAAGAAAGGAAAGAAAGAAAGAAAGAAAGAAAGAAAGAAAGAAAGAAGGAAGGAAGGAAAGAAAAGGAAGAAAGGAAAGAAAGGAAAGAAAAGAAAGAAAGGAAAGAAAGGAAAGAAAGGAAAGAAAGGAAGAAAGAAAGCAAGAAAGAAAGAAAGAAAGAAAGAAAGAAAGAAAGAAAGAAAGAAAGAAAAAGAAAGAAGGAAGGGAAAAGAAAAGAGAGACTGACCTTGAAGTCCAGTGAGTCATAGGACAATTCCAAACATCCTAGTGCATTTATAATGGGAATCCCCAGAGGAGAGGCAGGTAGTGAAAAAAAACCAGGGGTAACAGTCAAAAGTTTTTGTAATTTTTTTTTGGTACCGGGAATCAAACTCA